TCTCCGTTGAACAACATCTTCACTGTAATATTCACAGCTTTTAACCAATTCTTGATCTTCATCTCCAACAAATTCTAATCCGTCTTGTGAACCTGCAACGAACTCAATTTTTCAACTCCAAGCCGATATATGCCTTCGTTGATGATCGATTTTCGTATAATGTTGTATATCTTCACCCATCACCGGCTGCACATCAAGCCCACCGCGAGTTCAGTTGAAGTTCGCCGACCTCATGACCGAAACAGAATCTATCTGAGCCAGTTACCATTAAGCCTAGCCACAACTGCTGCACGTTGTCGTCCTTCTTACCGGCCGAGTTCAACCGAGTCGCCGTCGTTGCACCGCCATCACGCCCGTGCTCGCCGTCGATCTCATCTGATCTGCCGCGAACTGCCCATATCTGAACCGAGTGTAGTTTGATGCAACCACATGTGAACTTCTATATCGCAAAGTATTAGTGTCTAACCTGTAGAGATGAGTTGATGACTGTCGCTACCGGCCAAGCCCTTTGGTGTACCGTCAAAAGTTCACAGCCACTTCCTCATGACCAGACCGGAGCTCATCCCAGTCGAGCGACCCATCTGCAGCGTTGCTTCCATCATCGCCGGCCGCAAGTCCTCACCAAGCTCTTGGATTTGTTTCGCCGGCGGTGTTCCCTCACCAAGCGCGTGGATTTGTCTCATCGGCGGTGTTCATCTCACTAGCCTTCCATCTCTGCAGTGAGCTTGCCGGCCATATTCATCCTCGTCGAGCTGTCGCCCACAAGCGGAACAGCCCGTCGTCCATCACATCTGAGCTTCTCCTCGCTCGCCTCCTCTATTGATTGGTACCTTTATCAGTTTTATATATATATATATATATATATATATATATATATATATATATATATATATATATATTTATAGAACTAAACCCGCTTTGTAACCTCATTTGAGAACTGGTTCTGTGGTAACCTAGTTCGGGGGAAAAAAAAAAAAAAAATCGAATTGGGTACTCATTTTGGAGCATTCAAAGCTTTGTCTTCCAAGATAGCTAGGTCTTCCAAGAACCTGAAGAAGTCGGTCTTTTAGGTCGGCAAAGTTCTTCCTAGCATTCCATTTTTCAAGGCTAACGGCGAAATAAAGGCTTTCAAAAAAGTTTTAAAAATGGGTTGCCGCTCAACGCCGCAAACTTTAGTAGACTCATCGGCCGGGCATTTCAAACATCCCAGGCCTTTTCAGACGCGAATCTTTCTATCTCTCTAATCAGATAAGTTTCCTAACTTTGATTTTTACAATCTGGGTTAAGCTTTTCATGATACGAATTTTTGTTAAAAATACATATTATATATATATATATATATATATATATATTTACACATGATGCAATCATATTTTGTTATTCATGTAGACGCTCATTATACATAAAGATTTATGACTTAGTTTGAACCAACCAAATTGCTTATTCAGTATACTCTATTGAGTAAAAAATAAAAAAATAAAAATAACCACTTGAACTTCTGTCTCTGTCAACACTCAACAGATTCTTTAGTCTTTCTTTCTTCGATTATAATCCTCTACTGATTCATCCCTCTCTCTCTCATCGAGGATTTTCAGCATTGTAATTTTAGTTATATTCACTAGCTGTTTTGCTCACACTTTGAGAAAAAATTTAGATTATATCTATTAGTTGTTCACTAAAGGTTGATAATTTATCAGAGCCTTAGGACCACATCACTTGACATTGTTGGTTCAGACTCTTCAGAGGGATGCTCAACTTCATCACTACTCAACTAAAAGAAGATTTTGACCCTCTACATTGACTTCTGAAATTTACAATTGAATAAAGATCCGAGGCCAGAGGCATTGTTGAATGCACGAGCTATGCCAGTTGGTCTATTACTTGAAGTCCTAAAATATTACATACATTGAGTAATTTCAATATACTTGATAAACAAGAGCGAGTAAATACTTATTGCTAATTAGAATTTCTAGTTACAAATTCAATTGTGATACATAAGAAGTTCTTAAAATTCTTACTTTCCATGAATCAGTTGTTATATGCTACGTGTCATCATTTTGCATGCTTCTGATAACTTTGCTTACGAATAACTTTGTATTTGCTCTGTGTTCGTAGGTTACTTAATATTTGGGTTTGATTTATTCGCATTGCAATAAAGATCAATCCCCAAGTGAAGTGACAAATAGTCCAACTATACAGTTATACTATATGTGGCGTCAGAGCGCCAAAAAGCGGGGGTAAGCCTAACCACAAAAAATTTATCTTCGGACCTCAAGAGTCCGAAGACTTCAAATTCCTCTAAAGGCACAACGAGCTACCGAGGAAGAAAACTCATCTTCGAAACTCAAGAGTTCGAAGACTCCAAATTTTCTCTAAGGCACAACAAGCTGCCGAGGAAGAAAATTCATCTTCGGACCTCAAGAGTCCGAAGACTTCAAATTATCTTCGGACCTCAAGAGTCCGAAGACTTTAAATTTCCTCTAAGGCACAACAAGCTACCGAGGAAGAAAATTCATCTTCGGACCTCAAGAGTCCAAAGACTTCAAATTCCTCTTAAGGCACAACGAGCTACCGAGGAAGAAAACTCATCTTCGAACCTCAAGAGTCCGAAGTCTCCAAATTTTCTCTAAGGCACAACAAGCTACCGAGGAAGAAAATTCATCTTCGGACCTCAAGAGTCCGAAGACTTCAAATCATCTTCGGACCTCAAGAGTCCGAAGACTTCAAATTTCCTCTAAGGCACAACGAGCTGCCGAGGAAGAAAATTCATCTTCGGACCTCAAGAGTCCAAAGACTCCAAATTTCCTCTAAGGCACGACGAGGATTTTCATCTTCGGACCTCAAGAGTCAGAAGACTTCAAATTTCCTCTAAGGTACAATGAACTGCCGAGGAAGAAAATTCATCTTCGGACCTTAAGAGTCCGAAGACTTCAAATTTCCTCTCAGGCACAACGAACTGCCGAGAAAGAAAATTCATCTTCGGACCTCAAGAGTCCAAAGATTTCAAATTCCTCTAAAGGCACAAAGAGCTGCCGAGGAATAAAATTACATAAAAATTACTTCGAACTCAAATAAATCGAAGGTTAAATTTTCATGTAAAATTTTGTAAGGCACAAAATAGTGCCGATAAATAAACTTTCATGAAAACAGCAACGAGACATATTTTTCTTTCCTTAATGGGGGCAATACCTTCTGTAATGAGGGCAAGATAAGTAGCCCTAAAGAGCTATTAAGAAAAGAAAATATATTCTCTCACTTTTGAAATCTTCGAACCTACGAGTCCGAAGAATATATATTATCTCACTATAGAGACATTCAAATATTCCCCTCCAAACATGTAGACTCTCAATGCTAGAGCACAGACCTACTTTCAACTTGATGAAAATGTAGCCCACCAAACACAACATGCCACCCTCATCACAGTGGATAATAAGTCTTGGGAAAAGTTTTAAGTTCAAAAAGTTAAAGAAGCCAGCATGCCTCAGCACCGGTCGCTTCGGTACTTGAGAAGAGGAAAAGGATAGATGAAAGGTTCACGCCTCTTCGTACCACCTTGGCTCGGCTATTCCAAGAAAACAAGGTGAGATTCGCAGCCCATCAGCCAATAAGGCAACCCTTAGAGCAAAAGGACATGAGCAAGCACTGCGCCTACCATAGGGACTAGGGATTACGGGCATACAACTAATGATTGCAGATCCATTAGGCAGCAAGTGAAAAACATGATAACCAGAGGTAAGTTGTTAGACTACCTCACACCAAAAGAGTACGTGAAGCCTCGGGAGGTCAACCCTCGAAAAGTGGAGGGCAATCAAGTAAAATTCATTCATACAATACATAGGAGATCAGAGGACGACCAAGAGTTAGAAGAAGTGTACCGATCCAGACTGAGGGCAGCCCACAAGCTAAGGAAGTTATCCTCAGTAAATACTATCACCTTAGACAGTATCAGTATAAATTCCTTTAAGGCGCAAAGCAAAAAAACCACAAGCTTCTGACCCTAAGAGTCCGAATGTATCAAAGAAAATACAAGCCTCGGACCTCAAGATGACGGACAACCATTGGAAGAAAAAACAGCAAGAAGAAATAAGATATGAATAGTGACTAGAAGTTTTCAAATGATTTATGTTTACTGGCCAGTCTTCTTATCAGTTGTATTACCCATAACTTGTAAATTTTTTCGTCTTCCGTATATGCATTATTGTCAAATTTATGTCACCTCTCTATTATGGTTAAACTAGTAAAATGGTTCATATTATAATTCAGTTCACTAAAAACCTAGCTTCTGCCGCATTTATTGTGGAAGTGTTCTGCAGCTACTGCCAAACGCATTCATTATCACACTATAAATAGTGCAAAAGCCAAAGTGAAATAAATTAAATTAAATATGTGGCTGAAGTAATTTGATGACTTCATTATTAAATAGAGATTGATCAATCAGATTAGTGTGTATAGATATATATATATATATATTTATTTATTGTAAGAGATCAAGTGTACTTGCTAGTTCCGTAATAAAAATTCAATCCATAACTCGAGAAAATTGGGATCTGAACACTTAAACCACTATGCATTCTCAGCATAGTTTTGTGCAAGGCACAAAATATGTATCTCATTCAGCGTTTTTTTGATCGATACCATCAGAATTAAAATTCTTTTCCATTCCATTATTAACCTTTTGCCACATTAATCTCGAATACATGCAGTAGTAGTGTTTTGCAGCTACTTTCAAACCGATCATGATCACAACATTGAAAGAGATCAAATAATGTACATCAAATACACATGATAAAAATCAATTCAATCCATAACCCAAAAGAAAATTGTGATTGGAAACACCATTTACTTCTTCATTTTAAAGTTTATGAACAGAGAAAATTGATCACTGTGCTGATCGAACAACTTTAATCAAACAGATTAATTATATACATGTACGTTTGAAAGAATCTAAGTATACACATTAGTATACAACATGAAACTAAAAATCAATTCAGTCCAAAACCCTAGCTTGGGGCAACTGCATGAACACCCTTTAGCTGTTGATTGATTAAAAGAGAACTGATCAACTCTGCGTCGTGCCGGTTGTTGAAGGGATGGAGTTGAACAAGTTTAGAAGCTTTTTTCAAAGATGATGGCAGTGGCTGGTGTTCAACCATAAATGGATGATTTAAGAGCATCTTTGCAGTCCATCTCTCACTTGGCTCCCTCACTAGACACCTTATCAAGAAGTCGGTGGCGTTGGCAGAAAATCCCTCTGGTATCTCCGGCTCTTCTTCTCCTCCGAAACCAATCTCAAAGAGCAGATCATTCAAATCTCCATCAATATTACTCCATACCGGCTTTCCGGTGAGCATCTCCACCATAACGCAGCCGAGAGACCAAATGTCCATTGGTGCTTCATTCAAGCCTAATGCAACTGACTCCGGCGATGTGTAGAGAGGTGTCCCTCGATAATCATCAAGCCCACCACTCACATATATATCACCCTTTCCAGCCCTCTTCGCCAGTCCAAAATCAGCTATCTTAACTCGATTATTTTCGACCCCACATCGACATGGTACTGATGATGTAGGAAACACAAGGATATTAGCGGGCTTGATATCACAGTGAACAAACCCTTTCTCATGAATGTAATGCAGTCCTTTAAGGATCATTCGGCTGTAAACCCTAACTTCTGGTTCTGACAACTTGCCGCCGCGTTTCTTGATCAGGTCTTCCAAGGTGCCTCCCGGTGCATATTCCAGGAAAAGATTGTAATATTTTTCATCTTTTGCAATCATCTCCTCGAATCCAAAACAACGAATGATCTCCGGACAACCTTTCAGAATCTGTAGAATGATTTTTTCTCGTTGCAGCGAGGCCGATTTTGAGAAAACCGATGATTTAATGGCGATGGGTGGAAGGGTAGGGAAGGTTGCAAGGTACACAATACCGTACGTTCCACTGCCAAGAACCTTCTCTATCTTCCACTGTGTCGCCATTGATGGAGTGAATCGAAGGTTCTTGCCCGGGATAAGTTGATATATATATAATGCAATGTATATATATATATCTTAGTTTCCTAATTGATATATATACATATATATATATATATATATATATATATATATATATATAGTGGTTTCCTTAATTGGCCGGGACCGACTTGATACTTCGAGATTAAGTTATAAGGAAATTAATTGTTTTGTCTGGAAAAAAAATCATCTCTGATTTATCTCTGTTAGATATATTATGTTTTTGACAGGACAAAAAATAATAATAATACTAAACAAAAACTAGAAGTAACTAAGATTTAAAAAAAAAAGAAAAAGTTAAATTTATAGTATAAAGGGTATTTGTTGTATTTTAAAATAAGAAATGATGCATTAATTATTTTATAGATTTTCTTGTCATTTTCTCTAACACAAAAAGGCAAGTGGAGTACAAGTGTAGAAAAATAGAGTTCCTCTTTCTTTTTTTGAGATTATCAAAATTATGTTTTTTATCTTTTGTTTTTCAGTCTAAAGTACAAATATGGATATCTAAGGCCATTTTGGGGTTTTGAAATTTCAGCATTAAGTAAAGAGTGAAGTTGTTGCATGTTAAGATTTTTTCTATCCCTAATATCCTGAATTCTTGTAGTGTAATTTGTGTTTCTTTCGAAACTCAAATATATATGCAAATTTCCATTATTTAGTATGCAACAATAATATAACTCAAAAGGAAGAGCAAAGTAGGGATGCATGAATTAATGTTAACTCATATGGATTTAAGTGAATATAGTTGTGGTATTTGATGGAACCGTATTGGTTGAAAGAAGGGGAGTTGTGGAAGCTTGTCGATTTTTTACAACCGAGTTTTTATGGCGAGTTTTGCCTCTCCTAAAAAGTCTACGTTCAACCTTTGCATACTCTAGAAACACATTTTATTTTATTTTTAAAAAATCCTGCATTTGTCTTAACACAATTAAAACCTATAGCAACAACATCAATCTCAAAATCCAACACCAAGTTTCACATAAAACCAAATAAAAAAAACTGATAAGTAATGAGAATAGATTCGAGATATAAGTAAATATTTGGTGCATGTGATAAAAATATGTGACTCCACTAAGTATTTACCATGCAGGAGATGAAACAAGAAGTTAATTTGCTGACTACCCAATTGTTATCCATTGACGAAAGCTTGAAAGGAAGGTTGATGGCTTTGGTGGTGTAAAAATATTTGGGTTTTCTTTTGAGAAGTATATTAGGGTTTTAGTTTCCTAATTGGATTAGGAAGACCTATAATTATACAATAGTGATGACGTGGATATTAAACTACTTCAACTATCACAACTTAATTTAAGTATTATCAATTTTTTTTTTTTTTTTTTTTTTCCTAATTGGGACTCACACACACTGCCTCCACTGTGGTTCGAACCCCTGACTTCCCTTTGGAAAGTAGGAGCCTTTTACCGTTAAGCCACAGGCCTGTTGGTTATCAAAATCTTCTAACCTAACTGGTAAGTATCACCTAACATGTTCCAAAAAAAAAAAAAAAAACTTTATTTATTTATTAGGGAGCCATATTCATAATCCATTTTACTTCAATTTTTTTCTTTTAAATAAATGACATAAAAGTCCCTAAATTTATTAATACATCATCTTCTTAAAATTTTCTTTTTTTCTTTTTTTTTTTACATTCTTTATTTACTCTAATACTTTCTTTTTTCTTTTCTTTTTTTTATTTTTCTGTTAGAAGAAATTTACTCAGCTGAAATTATTAGGATAATGGATTAGTGTTAAACTCAGTTATCACTATTCATCAAAGCAAAAGTAGAGAACAAAAGGGTAAAAAAAATATTGGAGACAAAATTGTGTGCATGTGTGTGAGAGAGACTAATAAGATCTAGCCAAAGATTTAATTTGGCTTTTATGGTACTTTGATTGCAATTATTGTATATCATTAGATGAAGGATACTGCCGGAAAAAATTGAAATCAGTGCTACCGCATGAGGGATTATTGTCTCAACCGGATTAGTGTTCATACCTCATAATTTCTTTTTTTTTTTTTTTTTTAGGCTGGGAGAATGTAGAGACCGAAAAAAATTGAAAAATGTTTGATCGTCATATGGAAAACATGGGAGCTAGAAGTGATTCGAATTGGCTATAAGTGCAAGTGGGAGCTGTTGGGATATGTGTGCCCTAACATAGCAAATTCTTATTTGGATTGTAAAAGTCATGATTCCTTATCTGAATATTATTATTAAGGCATTATACAATTGGTGAATAGAATGTATTATTTTTCGATTCTTTATGGAATTGATTGTGTCCACTTGATTACAAGATATATTTATATATGTATGTAAAGGTAATTAATACTAAGTTATAAATTAGTAATCATAAATGGTTCAAAATCGGTAATTATGGATGGACATTTAATTAGTTAAGACTTGAACCGAGTTCACGATAGATAGAGATATATTGTGAAAGTTGTTGTATGCAATTACTCTTTATCACAGTTATGACTTTTCACTTTCAAGCATGAAAGAAGTATTGGCTCTTTTATTAATTAATAATTACTTTGCTTTGTTCGGCGGATAGTTAGAGGTTTATATTCTCAATATTTGCATCAGTGTTATTTGTATTTATTTTGTTTTGATTATGGTTGATCACAAATTAAATTCGAAGGCCTTCGTATGTTTTAGACAAAATGTTTTCTATATGTATTTATTTAGTAAATTATTATTTTTGTCAAACAAATATTTTATTGTGATTAAGCCGGAAATAATCAAAGGTAACAAAATAATTATATTAATTATGTTGTCGGATTGATGGCTTTAATTATCCGATAAATAATTATGCATAGAGAGATCAAAGTGCAACATTGGCTTAGAGGTTATTTACTATTTAATTGGAGTGCAATTAATTTCTTTTAGTGAAGTAGAAATTAATTTATGAATTAATTGAATTGGGTCCATGGTTTAATGGACCGGACTAATTATTAATTTATAGTAGCCAAGAAAATAGTAAGCTCAAATGATTCTCACCCATAGCCCAAGTTGATATTGGAGTCATATTAGAATTGAAAATTTTGAATTAGAGATAGAAAAGAATTTATTGTTTCCTTTTCTTATCTTTATTTTGTCTATATATACATGGGTCCATGTATATTTTAGAGTGTGACTTTTAGAATAAGAAAAAGGAATATATTTTCTTTCTCTAGTATTTAGGGTTTGCTTTCTCTTTTAAAGGAGGCTACTACAAGCCTTGATTCCAAGTTCATTTATCAAGGCATATTGGTGATTCCTAAAGGGAAAATTATCATCAAGAAGAAGAAGAAATGATCTTACTAAGTGATCTACAACAAGTGAGAACATTCACTTTAGAGGAAAGATTAAAAGGTTTACTCAGACCTTTGATGTAAGTATTCAAACTATTAATTGAATGATACATCATCTTTTATTTTTGCATAAAACTTGTCTCTATGTGATGAATCAAGATTTATGTATGAAAATCCCTCAAAAAAATTTTAAAACTTGCACGTTTCCCAACAGTGGTATCAGAGAATGGTTTGATTCATTACTAGAAATCATGTTTTTATCAAAATCATCTTCATGGATCCAAATTATATATACATATATATATTTATTGATGTATGTTGATGTATGATTTATTATGTTGATATATATTGATACATGATGATGTATATATAATTGTGAATGGATAATGATGTATGGTTGGGCCATGAATGGAGCTTATAGGTTTATTGAATGTAATTTATTCTTTGGATGAATGTAATTAAGGCTTTGATTTAGCCGTTTGAAAGTTCAATGATGTGATTTAATTTTTTCCATTATATTTTAAATTGTAAATATTTATTTAATCCATGTACTCTTCATCAAAGGATGCTATGAAGTTTCAAGAAGTCCAAAAAGATTAAATTAGGCTTCAGCAATTTTCTGGAATTTTTTTGAAATTTTCAGATTTTTTCTGGAATTGTTTAGGCTTAATTTAATTTTCTGGGAATTTTTCCTATTTTTCTAGAATTTTTCTGCATTTTTCTGGTGTATCACACCAAGGATGGGCCTGGCGCTTGAGGATCACACGCCAGGATTGGCAGAGAGTGAGGGCATGCTAGCGCGTAAGGAACACGCGCCAGCCCAAAGTTTTTACCCTGCACGTGCGTGCAGGCACGTAGAGGCGCATCCCGGCACGTACTATAGGTGTTTACAGACTGTTGCAGGACTCTCGTACAGCAAGAATAATATTTAAATGTTAAAAGCTGAATCCATTGGCCATTTAAATTGCTTCTGTCTGTTGTTTAAATATTTATGTGATACATGGAATAATTTAATACTGATTATTATTGTTCATGCATTAGATCCATGATTTTTATTTAAATGGCTTGATTTATATTAATTAAATTATGAAGATAAATTGGATTTGATTGCTAATTAATTTGAGGGTATTTATTGAGAAACGAAAAATTATTTTTGTAAATTATTTTAAAATAATACATCAAATTAAATATTAGTGAATCATTTAAAATCCAGATATTTTCTAAATTTAATTGAAATAAAATCAAGGCATTTTGCATGCATTAAATCATGAATAGAAAACCCAAATTATATATAATTAAAAATTGAGTGGGAGTGGGGATTTTTATACATTACCCCATGGCCTTCGTTATTATAACTATTATGATTAGATCTTTAAAAATAAGGTCCGACGCATGATTTAAAGGGTCTAGATTAAAAGAATGGTTGTCTTATAAAAATATATTTATTAAATGTCCATTATAGTTAGATCTTTAAAAATAAGGCCCTACGCATGATTTAAAAAGTCTAAGCTAATAATGGCAATACATTTAATATTTGATTTTTCGTTGGAGCATTAATTACGTTATACACTCAATCTAAAATCAATAGTATTATTTCCCCAACGGAGTGGTCTATACTAGGTGATTTTAGAAAGGCTAAACATAATCGGGAATTATTTCATATATAGATAAAGTATTG